TTTTTTCTCTCTGCTGAGTTCACGCAAATTTCTTCAAGTTCACTCTGTAATGCAGTAACTGTCAAAATGACAGTAAAATTACATGTTTGTCGACAAACAGTCTTATCATTAGCACCAATGACAAAAGCTAATAACTTAAACTGATTTATGTCTTTAAACTTGTCAGCAAATTACCCTGATTAAAGACAGGCTCTGTTTTCTACATCGCCTTCGAAATTTAATTTTTACAGACGGTCAACAAACACGAGAAGTGTAGGTTTACATCAGACTGCTGATTACTTGTGAAACTCTTTCCAAATGCCGCACTTCAGTTTACATATATGAATAAAAGATTTCACCAAAAACTAAAAGTAAACAACACACGCAAAGTTCAAACTTCAAATTTATTTACACTCAAATTCTAAGACTCACTCTCTAATCCAGTTTCTTTGTTACCAGTAATGCACATAATTACATACACAGATCCACATCTGATACAATTATACGCTCCAGTCCGGTGTCGGCTCAAGTACTGACCCATCCACTTGTTGTAATGTGTCAAATTTTTTAACCATAAGGCCTTACAGTTACAGACCACAAAGTGAAAAAAAGGTGATTGTATGACAAGCCTTCAATCAGAATCGTTAATGAACCCCAGTGACTGACACGATACAAGCATGAAACGCTGATTCACCGTCCCAACCAGGTGACAATACCAGCTCTTTATTTTACACCTATATATTCACAACCGTCTAAGAAAAAAACACTGGTGCTTGTTAAAAAACCGAAAAAAGCAGAAAAACATTATCGATCGACCTGATAAGGTTCAACACCTGTGAATTTCTCAATTCACTTGTTCTGCTTTATCCATTCCGCCCCCACATAAAAAACGGAAAAATTAGACTCCAAAAAAACCATTTCAACAACACTTCCTCTCTATTGGACTGTTCCTGTGTCCAATACAGACCATTGAATATGTTATCAATGTCAAATTTTCTTTATTACAACCAGAAAATATGCAATAAATCAAAAGTACCTGAGTTATTTTTTCGCTTTTTTAACTGACTTAAAAAACCTAAACCGGGCAAACAGAACTTCTCCTTCATGGGTAGGACGCCGATTTAGAAAAAACAATAAAAAATTCAAAAAAAAACAGATAATGTAAGTCAATTTACACACCACTTTACTCTTACACAAATAACTAGAGTTGTAAGTTGTCTATAAAACAGCTAAGTATTCAATAGTCAAACGCTTACCTTTGTTGGTACATTAAAAACTTCACCTGTTCAAAAGCAACAATAAAAGACCAAAGAAAAGAAATTTTTTTACTTCGTAAAATTTTCTTCCTTCTTAATAACGAATGATTAGTTTAAGTTACTACTAAAAATTTGAGAAAGAAGCAAAGAAATGCAAAATATGAAATACTGAGCGCAAAACAAAACTA